TATTTTTATGCTGAAAAATTCATAGAGAAAATTTTTCAAATTTTTAAATTTCTCCAAATTGTAGGTAAAAGTTCTTATTTTGTGTCAGTACAAAGCAAATGTTTTAACTATCTAAATAATCTATATAAAAATTCTTTGAATTGTAAGATCATAAATAAATGTTTCTTTTCTCATATGTGGGTTATTATTTTCTTGAATTTTTTACTCAAATTCTTCTTAAATCAATTATTTTTAATAATTTTTGAAAAAGTTCTTTGAGAATTTTCAAATTCAATTGTTTAAAATTTAATTTTATGAAATTTCGATTATTCTGGCATTCTTTAATTAAATATAGAATCGAAAATAAAAACTTCGAATAATTTCAAAAAAATTCAATTAAACTTTTTCAAAAAAAAAAATAATACTACAAAATTTTTAGTTAAAACGTTAAAAGTATGAAAAATTCAGATTTTCAAAGATTTGTCTTGAACTTCAAACCTTTTCAAAATTCAATTATTTCTAAAAATTTACGCTCTAATGCTTTCAATTATTATCTAAATTTTGAACTGAGATTCATTTTTAAATTAATTTTTAATAGAAAATTCTGCGACAATTCAATAAATTATTTAAATAAAAAATTAAATAATTTATTCAATAAATTGAATGTTTCTTAAAATTTAAATTTTACGAAGAATTTTATTAACAACTTTTGAAAATGTTTAATTTCTTTAAAGAAATATAATTAAAATTCATGAAAGTTTTTGAAAATAATTAAAATTTTGCTACGAATTTTATTAAAATTTTTGAAAATAACTGAATTTCTTAAAAGGATATTTTTATTACTTTTGAAAATAATTGAATTTCTGCAATCATTTGTAATTGCTTCAAAATTCAATTTGTTTTAGTGTTTTTAACTAAAATTCTTCTATAAATTCATTATTTATAATTTTTAATTTATATTAAAACCGATTAAAAAATTTAACTGATTTCAGAAGAATTTTTGTTTTTAAAATTTTTTTAAATCCAAGTTTTTTTATACCTATTTCCAATTAAATTAATTTAAAATTGAAATTTAAAAAAATTTTGAATCGAAATCTTTTAAAGTTCATCTACTTATGAAAATTGTAAACGCAATTCTTTAAAAATTGAATTAATTTTGAAATATTGAAGTGAAATTAGATTTCTAGAATAAACACAATAACTTTAGAAAACAACAATTTTCCAGGATTTCGATAAAAATTCTCTGATTTTTCGAGGTTTTTTCAAGGTTTATAAAATTCCCTGACATTTCCAGGTTTTACAGGTTGCGTAGAAACCCTGGTTTTGAATGTAAATATTTTTGGAGATTGCCCCACTATAGAAAATTTTCAAAAAAAAAAATTAAATAAAAAAAGTTACCACTTTGTGGGGAATCACATATATGATATGGCAATAAAATATACATTATTGAGAGAGACAATGTTTACTCGCATCTCTTGGCAAATGGTTTTCGATTGATAGGACAATAAAAGGCAAGAAATGTCATACAATAAATAGATGTAAAGGAGCTTTAGAACGTTCGTCTAAAGTCTGAATTTGGATGAATGTTTTTAACATATCAGAATCTTGAGAGGATATTCTTGTGTTAGGCGGTTGAGTGTCAAACTATGGATTCCAAGCACGTCTCAGGTGTCGTGAGCCAACCTTGACAGGAGGCCTGCCGCAAAGATCCTGCGGGAATAGCGTGACGTTTATCCAAGCTCGGTAGAAACACGGTAAATTATGTTGAAGGATCAGCTATATTCGTGGCAGATGCTTCGATTTCCTCTTTTATGTGACGAGAAAGATCAGAGACGTAGAAAAAAGAAAGGAGTGAGTTGAAATTTTCCGCCCTTTGACAGACTATAAATTTGTTCTCCTATCTGTAGCCGACCACTCTCTCACTCTCTCTCTCTCTCTCTCTCTCTCTCTCTCTCTCTCTCTCTCTCTCTCTCTCTCTCTCTCTCTCTCTCTCTCTCTCTCTCTCTCTCTCTCCCTTCTCAATTTAACGCATTACTAATAGCGTTCTTTAGGGTGCTTATGCTCAGATAATTAGGATTAAGTGCTTTTAAATTGTGATAATCGACTATCTAAATTACTGCCTACGGTTTTCTATATGGTCTTCAATTATAAAGCTTCAGTATTCTCAATATTTTTATGTACAATTTTGATGCGTTGAACACGATTATACAAGGTCAGTTTTTCTCCAATTTATAGGATTTTTTTTCTTAATTTCGCAAAGAAACATGAGATTGATTTTTTAAACACAAATTCGAATTTAAAAAAGTAACAAAAATATCACATTAATATTATTACCAATTTTTTTTTAGTAGATACAATTCTCTCTTTTACTAAAATTTCAGTAAAAAATGACTAAAAATTAGTAAAAGTTGTGTCAACTATTGTGCCTTCAAATTTATTTTTTCGAATTTAGAGAATTATAATTGTAAAATTACCGACTTCGCACTCGATAATTAATTTTAAAAATGTAGGAAAAAGTAGTTTTCAAACTAAAACAAATAATAAAAAGTAGCTATCGAAAAATTAAACTTGACGTCCAAAAAAAACTCGTTTTAGACACTTCATAAAACTGACAAAAATCCTATTCTATATTTTATTTTCCTGACTTTTTCTAATTATAATTTTAATTATATTAATTATAATCTTATGACTAATTTTCATCAAAAATATTTACTTCTTTCTCATTCTACTGCTAATAAATTGAATTCCTGCAAAGAATTTTATTATTTATGAAAGAATTTAAATATTTAGAAAAATAATTTAATTCTTACGAAGAATTTTATACGAATTTTTAAATAATTACTTTCTTTCAACTAATTTTATGCAAATTTTAATTTAAATAATAGAATTCCTGAGAAACTTTTTCATTCATGAAAATAATTGAATTCTTACGAAGATTTTTACAAAAAACTTTTTAAATAATTGAATTCTCTTTGGAAATCTTATGAAAATAGTAGATATTAAAAATCATTAAACAGCGAAAAGTTTTTTAAAATAATTAAATTTTACAAAGAATTCTATTAAAATTTTTGACAATAATTAAATGTCTGTTTAGAATTTTATTAAATTATTTTGAAAATAATTTAATTCCTAAAAATATTTTTATTATTTATGAAAATAATTAAATTCTTGCGAACGGTTTTATTAGAATTTTTTAAATAATTGAATTTCCATGAAGTTACTTTTAAAAATAATTGAATTCTTGTGATAAATATTGTTATTTATGAAAATAATTGAATTTTCGGGAATAATTTTTAATTTATCTTTAAAAATTGAATTCTTTCGAAGAATTATTTATGTAAATAATTGAATTCTTTTTGGAAAGAATTTTATTAAAATCTAAAAGTATAATTGAATTATTTAAAAAAAAATTTAATTAAAATTGTATTCAAAATAATTGATTTCTTTCGAATAATTTCATTAAAATATTTAAAAATAATTAAATTACTGTGAAAAATTCTAATATTTTGGTAAATAATTGAATTTTTCCAAAGAATTTTAAAAAAACATTTTTTTAAATAATTAACTTTTTCGAGGAATTAAAATTTTTAAGAATAGTTACTCACCAAAATGAAAATTAAAGATGATTTTAACTTAAAAAAAAATTCTATCTTGATTTTTCGTTTTTAAAAACGTTACGGACTTCAGATTCATTATTTTATTAGAAACTTTTTACTAATTCAGATATGGAAAAAGTCGTTTTACATTTGAAAGTATGTCAATAACTTCTGATAGGAAAAATTATATCAAACTAATTTATATGATATAGATATACATATGTATATCATATGAAATATGAAATTCATCATTGAAATTCATTATTTATGAAGAACATGAAATTTTAAAATTTTAGAACTCAAGGATAAATGTGTGAAAAGAAAATTTTATAATTGTAAATTTTTAAACATTATTAAAAATTTACTGACTGATAAATATTGAAATTCTAAATTATTCAGTATGACAGGATAGATTTTCTACAAATTTTAATATCACCTGTCCTCAAAATTAATATAACTTTCTGAATTTCTTTTATTTAAATTTATATTCTCAGTTTTTTACTTTTTTTCACTTTGTAAATTTTGCAAACATTTTACTTATTTATTATTTGTATCAACTAAAATATTTATTTAAAATAAAAATATTTGCTTTAAATAGATGCTGAAAAAATTCGAAATGTTCGAATGAACGAAGTATTTGTTTAAATTAAATAATTTCCCAAATTACCGACTGTAATAAAAATTAAAAACCTCAATTTAAACAATTTCTTTTATTTAAATTAAAATTCCAAATTTTGTTGTATATTTCTTTATAATTTGTTTTTATTTATTACACATTAGTGACAACAATTATTCAAATGTTATTTAAACAACCATCTCAAACAAGTCTAAACATACTTTTTTAACGAGAAAACAAACAATAACTGAATATTCAAACAAATTTAAAACTTTAAAATATATTTCTTTTACATTCACACAATACAGTGATAATAAATTTTGAATTCGAAAAAGAAATAAATAAATTTCATTCATTTGAACGTTCAAAATTTTAAAAATACATTCAAATGCTGAAATTATTAATTTTAATAGGTACAATTTAATTTAAAAACAAATGGTTTGATTGAAATAAAAATTAATTGGTTCAAGTAAATATTTGTTTGACAATTTTTCGAAAATAATTGAATTTCTTAAAAGAATTTTTCAATTTTTGTATAATTAAAATTTTGTTTTTTAATTTGCAATTAAAATTCTTCAAAAATTGATTTTCGAAAAATTCTAATAAAATACTTGAAAAAAATCAATAATTTTCAATTAAATTTTAGTAATTTTACAAAATTTCAATTATTCAAAATCTTCTTAATTGTACATTTTGAAAATTTAATTAGAAAAATTACCCGAAATTACTCAAAATTACTCGAAATTCACAGCCTGATAAATAAATTCGTTATATTTGTAGTTATACCTTATAATCACAATAGTACTCACCAAGAATTTCAGTTATAGATCCAAACTGAAACAAAAAAAGAGAACAGTTTCAATGTTTTATCCATTATACGTACAGACATTCAAAAAAATATATTACATTAAAACCTTGCTATATTTCAAAAATTCAAAAACTTGAAAATTTTTTAACACTTTTGTGAATATTGGAAAATCGTAGACTCGAAGCTTTTTAATAATCAATGAAAGAACATTTTTTTTATGCCGAAGAGAATTTTAAAAACAAAAAATCATTTATTATTTACGAATAGTTATCAATGTTTTATAATATATTTCATGAAACGTTAACTCAATGATGATAAAATTAAATAAAAGTTATATATTTCTACCCGTAGAACAAAATGTGTGGATGGACATTAAAGTTTCTAATGGTAAAGAAGAGTAACTATCTAAATTTTTAATAAATGGAAAATTTTACTCTAAAATCGTCGTCCAAACACCTTTTTGACATTTAAATATTGTAATTCATATATAAAAATTCATAAAAATACTCATAATTATGAAAGACTTGGAATTCAATTTTATTAACTTTTTTAATACCATCAAATTGATGCACATGTCTGAGTATTTTCTTAAACTTTTAAAAGTTCAACTTCAACTGAACGAAAAATTTTTGTTGTTTCATTATTTTTAAAAATTACAATGAAGCAGAAAATAATATAAATATGACATTAATTTTACAAACATCATTAATTAAGAAATAATTACAATTTACTAATTAGATTTTAATTTAAATAATTTTCATTTCATTCGTTCATTAAATAATTTTTATTTACTTCATTCATTGAATAATTTTTATTTAATTAATTCAGTGAATAATTTTTAATTCTCCACAAGTTTTCAACTCTTTTAAATGAACGCAATCTTTTTTATTCAAAAATATTCTCATAAATTACAAATATTTTTTTATGTAATCAAAATGGAAAACGTAATTTTTTATTTAAGAAACTTTACAACTAGTTTTTCTTGATAATTTATTGTAATAAAAATTTAATTTGAAGAAAAAATAAATAAAGTTGATTCATTTGAACGGGGTGAAATTTTTATTTATTTAATTCATTATAAATATTTTTTATTTTCCTTTTCTAAGGGAAGAAAAAAAAATTCTAGTAATGATTTTTCCGAACGACTATATATTGGTTATTCTAGAAATAAATTATACTCATTTTGCTTGACTAGAATTTTTTTCTCTCTCCTTACGTTCAAAACTACCCAAACAAACTGCTCAATTTGCGGTTCGCGAACAGAATAAATGACCGAGTCCAGAGACTTTTCGCGGTTTACGTATTGGTTTCGGACTACTGTGCAATTTTATTCGCTACACGCTTGTAGCAGAGTCAGGTCGCTGAGGCCGTAAATCGTGTCAATTTATCACGTCTCATGATGTCAACAAGTAATAATAACAGGAACACTTTAGCTTCATTTCAGTATTAAGAAACGTGTCTGAAAAATACGTTCAACGAATGCGTGTAAATTGTACAAAGAAAATTGAATGAAAATAAATATCAACTGTAAAAAAGGTAAAAAAGTTTAAAAAATAATTTTTAAAAATGGTAAGAAAAGATTTAAATATGTTTTCCAAAATTCAAAAACACCATGAACACAAAAGTGTTCCAAAGCAACGTTTTGATTCGTTTTTCGTCTCAATTTGATATCTTTAGAAAAAGTGTGTAAATCTAGAGAGTTTAGAGAGATTAAATAAATATTTTCTTGACAAGTTGCGAACCCGATATGAATTTCCAATAAAAAATGATAAGAACTTTGGATGTACAAAAACAATATGTGATACACAAGACAAAATGTGGTTAGAAAAGCACAAAAAAAAAAGAAAAGAAAGAAAAAAATAAATAAAAACCAATAATAATATAGAATCAAAAAGAGAGAAAAAGAAAGGAAAAATAATAAAAAGTTGAAGAAAGAGAAAGAAATAGAATATGTGAGCGGACCACCTTAAGAATGCGTGCGTACAGAGTTTTGCAACGTGCAATCTCATGGTTCAGGAATTTCGCGTTTGGGGCAGAGTCTGTGACTCTGTGGTATCCTGAGACAGCTTTAAAGCTTTCACCAAAGGAATGCTCTTGACTAAAGCCTCCACTGTAGGAATTTACTTCGTTTAAAGAGATAGAGAAAATCAAAACAACTTTCCTCCAATTCTCCTTTGTCTACTCCTCTTCTATTTTAACGAAATATCCGCATTTGATCATTCTACCACTAACCAAAATCTATTAACTTAAATTAAATATTTTTCAGAAGCATTTAATCATTATTAAATATATATTATTTTCAGCTATATTTATACTGTATTGCAGTTAATTATTTAATTATTAATTATTTTAATTATTCAATCATTATTGATCTATCAAACTGTCAAGAAAGTCAGTGTCTTAAGAAACAATAACATGTCACAGTTGTCGTATTTTATCTTGTTGGTTTGTCATAAGTAAAATTTAGATCTTATAAATTATTATATCATTCCCATAAATAATTTAATTGTAAAATAAAATTATTTATTCAAAAAATTCAGTTTATTTTAGCATTTATCGATTATACCTCAACCAATTTATCTTGATACTTTTTCCCAACATTAAAGCTACTTTTGCAAAATTTGATTATTATTCAAGAAACAATAGAAATTGACAGAAATAGTATTACCTGCATTTGCAATGTGGTAGCAAAATTGAAAATTAATTAAAAAGGCCTTTAGAAGCATTAATCATCTGCAGAAACCAGGGAGTAAGACTAAGGAGACTGAACTGACTGTGTGAAGTCTCTCAAAAATGAAACCTTTTTCTGTAGGGGAACTATACTCGCAGAATGACAAAACTTATGCTCCGCGCGCATGCGCAGTACATGCGCATATTGCTCTCTCTCTTTATATCGTAAAATATAAGCAAGTGAGAGAACAAAAACTTATCAATAGGTTATGGTTATGTTTTGACATATAATTCTTAAAATAAAATTTCAAAATTATGGTTTGTTGCATACCAGGATGCAAAACATCATATTACAATGATCGACAAACGAATAAATTAACTTATTGATAACTTTTATGTGACATTTAAAGCTGTTTATTTATAAAGTATATAATTAAAGTAAATTACAAATTCGTAAATATTATTTATTTAGGAATTGTTCAATTGTTTCCACAAAGAATAAAACACTTTGTAGTTTATATACCAAAAAAATTGATTCTGAACATTTATAAATATTTTATTATATTATTAATATATTACTTATCACTGAAAAATATACACTCTTTAGTATATATTTTTGTATGCACATTTATATTTATTAAATTAATTTTTTTTTAATTTACTAATAGTTATTATTAATAATATTTCCTGAAACGCACAACATTCACAAATATTAAACATAACCTTCTCAACTTGTAGCTTATAATGATTTTCTCAGTCGCATCTGAGTTACTGAGAAAGACAGAGACAAATATATTGCATGTGCGCATGCGCGAAAACCATAATTTTCAGTCTTACGTATAGTTTCAATGCGACGAATGGTTTCACTTCCATAGCATTAGTTCAGTCTCCTTAGTCTTACTCCCTGGCAGAAACATAGAACTTTGAGGATCCCTAGAGCGCAAGTGGAGACTGTGATTGGCTAACGGATCACCTACATAGAGCACCGAAATACCGTCAACTCCCCCACAGTTGAAATCGTCTCCCATCGTTGCTATTCACAAACGGAATTCTTAATATTTACAATATAATTTATATAATTAGAAAGAAAAATTTAGCAAATTAAAACAGGGTTGCCACAAACATTTAACTTTGCTTTCCCTGACTTTTCCCTCATTTCCAGACTAAATTTTTCACTTTTTCCCTTATATATACACGAAAGAATATTTTGATTCATTCTAAAAATAATTAGATTCTCAAAAAAATATTCTTAATACATTTATTTGCGAATTTCTGAAATTGTAAAATTATTCGAAAACATCAATAACTTCTTCGAAATTATTTTCATCATTAAATTAAATTATTATTACTTTCTATAGAATTTTTAACTAAAACTCGTCTTTAAGTCAATTATTTTTAATAATTTAAAAAAAAACCAAATAAACTTTTTCAAAAAAATAAATTCTACACGGAGAAAAAAATGCTGTTGAATCAATGACATATGGGTTTGATTCATTGAATAGTGTCATAACGGGCTGCCTAACGTATATGCTGTTGTTTTGAAAGCACCGATTCTAATGATTCGATAGTATCACTTTCTTTGAAACAAAAGCATATTTCTCAAATTGACAGCATACTATGTTAATTCGAAGGTGAATCCTTTTGAATCAATAAACAAAATTTTTTAATTTAACAGTATATGCTTTTGAGTCAATGACTATAACTTTTAAATTTAAAAGCATCATTTTTATGATTCAAAAATTTGTACTCTTAATTTTTTTAGTTGTTGCTATCGATTGAATAACACCATACTGTTAATTCAATTCTTTTATGTGGTTAAATATATACCAACGATAAATTGAAAAAAGGGAATTTTTGTTCACATGTTTTTTATATACTATAATTAATTCTCACACCTTTAACACAACACTTTTTATACACATCTTTTTTTCAATTTTTCACACTAACATATACATCTTTATTATTATTTTCATTTTTCCCAACGGCTAAACACACACACACATACACATTCAAACACACTTATCTTTTTTAGTCAGAAAAATACGGCTATTCCCAAGCGGTCACCCATCCATTTAGTAACCGCGACCAACGACGCTTAACTTCCGTGATAGACGAGAACCGCCGCGCTGCAATGTAATACATCCGCTTCTCAACGTTGGGTACTTACTTTGTGGTTAAATACCGTGCTCGAGATTTTTCGCGTATATAAGGGAATTTATATAGGGAATTTATATTTAACTAGTCATTAATTAATTAAAAGAATTTAAATAATACTTTTTTATATTGGAATCTCAAAAACGACAGGTTTAATAAACATATAAATATATGTGGGTAAGTATTTCAATAAATTTAGTAC